TTGAGTTCTAAATGTCTGTTTTATTTTGAATTACCATTACCATTCATAAATTGGTATTTGATATTTATTATATGATTTCAATTTCCTTTAATTTCTTGATTTCATACTTTTTATATAGTTTGATATGCTATTTGTAATTGGAAAAGTATGAATCTAAAAGACATAACTTGATGATTGTTTCTACATTGAAATATTTGAAGTCATACTTTTATTTGTCTTGTACAATAAATAAAACTGTTTAATGTTGGAATAAAAGGTATGAGTTTTTTTTATATTCTACTTGATTGAATATATATATATATATATATATATATATATATATATATATATAAAGAAATTTAAGGCCCAAACTATATAAATCGTACGGGGACTCCAAAATGTCGGGACTGGCCCTGCCCATGTAAATGTAATAATATATATGTATCTCCTATTTAACAATTTATTTAAGTGAATGAATATGTATAGTAACACCTTTTCTTAGTCACTTCCATTATTAAGTCATTGATTTTTTATTTATAACAATTAAAATCAATAATTTTGAGATATTTTTTACAAAATTGAGTACTTTGACCTCCCATCATAGGTTTACTAGTTGTCTTGTTTATGTGGGACCGATCCATTGGCCAAGGCAAACTGAATAATCGTCATGGACCCTTCAAATGCCAAAGGACCTCGGTTTTATATCGTTATATGGTGTGACATATTATATTTAAGTTTAATTGACTAACTTTTCAAAAGCCTATTAATTTTAAGCCTAATAGACTAATTTTTCAAAGGCCCTATACTCCCTCCTCTAAGACCCGATGGTATGTACGAGAAGGATCTCTCACTTTTTGTCTGTCACGTCAGTATTTCCCTAACTTTTCTTTACTTTTTGTCTGTCACGTCAGTACGACTCAGATAGCCAAGAAAACCATTTAGGTTCGTACGTTCACGAATGAAGAATATATCCTCGCAGCAGAGGATTAGGAGTTCAATATATGGCGTAGTTTTCCATAGATGGTGTCAAATATTCAATGGATACGTCAGAATTGGAAAGCTTAGTTAAGCTCGTAATAAGGACTTAGTGGTCCTATGCCAAAAGGACAGAAACCGTAGGATCGATGTCAAGTAGAAAAGCATAGTATGAACATCGTCTAAAATGCGTATAGAGACGCCTAGAAGATGATCATTCGGGATAGACATGTCGATTAAGAGGAGTGGTAGTGCTTTACAAGGATTTTAGATGTATCAACATTATACATAATAGGATTGATAGATCAAGTTGTTGATCCAGGTTCAACCAATAGTTGGATAAGTGTCACGACGTATTGTGAGTGGGCATAAGAACGAATTGCTCGAACAATAGTGGAACCTTGATATAGGTAAAGTAGTTAGAGCCATGCGAGAAGGTTATTGGTAACCCAATGTTCATTATAATCTAGTAAGTTGGAAGATGAGAAAGACTTATAACGAGTCCGTTATCAATATTAGATTAATGGTTCCAGTGTTTTCCGAACCAACAAACCTGTTACAGTGGTTTTAGATAAATTTCAGGATGTTGGAACACCTGAATTAGGTAGAAAAACCACTGTCAATCTAGATTCGTGTGTGTTTTAAGCGTATAGTGTAGAAAGTTGTCGAAGAACACAAAGTAGAACGATATACCATACACCTTTTAGAGGCATGTTCCGGAAAAAAAATTCCATTAAGAGATCGTTTCCCAAGTTAGTCGCTTTATAATGAGTCTATTGTGTCGATATTTCACGTTTGAAGGCGATCTTCAATCGTAAATGTAATTTCTGGAAGTGCAAACCGACGAATTTCCGGTTTTGGAAATTTTCACGAGGAATTTGGGAGTACGTCTACGAAGAAAACAAAGTTCTACGGTTAAATAAGTGCAAATAGGCAAATTCGATGCAGCAACGTCAACTAAGATCACGAGTTGATCTCGATGACTCCAATAGGGTGACGTCCAAGAGCGCAAGGAACGTGATTTCGCGGACGAAATCTTTGTAATTGGGGGAGAGTTGTAACACCCAATTTTCGCATTCCAATAGAATTCAATATAAACAGTCGTTTTATAAAATTTGAAGTATAGATATATTACTTTTTATCCAAATTAATCATCATAAAAATGTAGGAAACATCAACACGATTTCCGTAGATATATAGAACACCCGAATCCGACTTCGTATGAAGAAGTTATGCTTCTTCGAAGTTTCGCGATTAAACCGACACGACTATGCGCGTCGTAAAATATGAATCAGAGATAGATTACTTATTAACCTTAGTGATCTAAACAAAAGTCATAGTAGTCATAAACCCGAGGGTGTACATATAGAGAACATACAAATCTAATTTTGTATGAGGAAGTTATGATTTTTCCAAGTTTCAGCGTAACAGTATGCGACACAGAAACCGAAATTAAGATCAGTAGATTGTTAGGAAAAACAATATAAATGAGAGTTGAAGATCTCGTCAATTCCTATCCATGAATATAAAGACAGTCAAAAACGGATATCGCATGAGAGAGTTATGATTTTTATATGGATTTTAACAGTCCAAGCCTATAAAAATATAACTTTAAAAATAAAGTGAGAATTAGCTGACAGAGTCAAAATGAAAGTTGTAGATTTCTTTGATAACTGCGTGTGGATATAAAGAACTCAATTTCTTTGTATCACAGGAAACAATACGAAGATAATGATGCTCGAATCTGATGAGAGATTCAAGGATATATAGGTCATAGTATAAAAGATATTGTAAGACATGTAATGACTACGTTTATTCTTATGTTTCTCGTATCAATTATGACATCCCAAAGTTTTAATAAATCAATAAAAAAAATTTCTTCGTAAATACTTTTTATGGGACAAATTCCGCAATATAAAGAATATTATGTTTTAAAATAGACATAAATAAAAAGGTATTTTCTGACCGTGAAAATATGGATGTCACACTAATCACTGAATCCTCATTTGACGGATGTCAGCAGATCCATCCGACTTCATGAACATCATATTAAGTGAATCAATCAAATCCTGAAAACCTCTTCGTCTCGCATCCAACTTTGAAATATGTTTTACAAACTATTTTGAAATTGATGTTTTGAAACCATTTACCACAATTGAACTTAAAAAAAATATTATACTAAAGGTTGTTTAAATCGTATAAACGACATTTCAATACACCATGTGTTACTTGTATTTCCTTTTCAATCCCTTTCTATAACCTCCCTCCCAATTTATTAAAAACTCAAGAAGAAAACATAAATGTTATGGAAAACAAACCCGAAATGGAGAGAGAACCTAATTTTAATTTTAAAAAATAAATAATATTTTGAAACGTTCAAAATAAAATAAAAAGATAAAAGTCTCTTACAATAGATAAAGACAAAATTGCAAAAATGGTCATCGTGGTTGACAAAATACTATGATTTTGGTCAAAAAAGTTTTAGTGGTGCATCACTTGTGCAATTTAAGATATTTTTAGTGATTTTGGTCCCTATACACCTAAAAAGACGATTTGTACCCCTTATATTTGTTTTTTATATTAATTTTAATGATTTTAAGTAATCAAATATTAGAGAATGACCTACTATCTCCCTTTCCTTTATCTCTCTACGTCTACCCTTACCCCTATCATGCCATCCCCTTCTCTTTATCTCTCTTTGCACCATTTTTGTACATAAACACATGTAGATTAAAACACACACACATACACATGTAGAAAACGAGCATAACAAATATCCCATTCCCTTTCTTATTCGACAAGAAATCAAACAACAATGAAGAAATCGAGCATTAATGGAGAATGTTGATGTTTTCGACAATTAACCATTTAGTGGCTCTCAATTCTTGCATGATCTTGAATCGCTGTAACCCTCTAGGTTCTTGAACTACTTCAAATTATTCCAGATTCAATTTGATTTTTTGCACTTCTCTGATCTATGGTTTTATTGTGCTTTGATTTCCACATGAAGGAGACGAACTTAAATAGATGTATGGTCGAAATCGAACTCGCTAGAGAATACACAGTTCACCACAAATCAACATCACTCACACTTGAGAAAGAAATAGAGAGTGAAGTATGGTTGAAATCGAACTCGCTGAAGAAGGGGGGAGAGAGAGAGAAAGAAAAAGAAAAAGAGAGAAAGAGCAAGGTTAGATTTAAAAACCCTATCAAGGTGATGTAGTTCATTTATAGATTCTGAACAACCGGAGAGTGGTGGTGTTAAATGGTGGTAGTGGTGTTGATCGATGGTGGTGGTGGTGATCGAAATGTGAAAGTTGGCTCAGGCAAGGTGTCTCCAACAACTGTTGTGGCGAAGATGGAGGAAGGGATGATAAAGATGTTTATGGATGCGAATCGGCTGATGAATGATGTGATACTGGAGATTTTGAGTGTGACAATTGTGTATCGAGCAACTCCATTTATCGAAGGATTAACCTAATTTCTTATTGGGATTCATGACGTGAAATTGTTACAAGAATTCAAATCTTGTAAATCAACACTCAATTGATTGTATTTGTGGATCATAAAGCTTGGATTTTTCATGGCATTTGGGACATTTTCATATAAAATCTAGGTGGTGGTGGCAGGGTGGTTGTGAGGTGGGATTTCTTTTTGGTGGAGATGATGTGTGTGTTTTCTTAAGAGGGATTGGTAGGAGTCATAACTTAGGTGGGGTGGGATGAAATTTCTTTTTAGTTTTTTTAATTAAAAGAATAATAAAATAAATAAAAGGAAATTAAAAATAACTATTTTAAGAGCATATTCATCTTTTAGGTGTTGTATGGACTACTATGCACCATCAAACAAGACTATTATGCACCATCAAACCTTTTAACCAAAACAACATATTTGACAACCAAATTCACCATTCTTACAATATTGTCATAGATAAATTACCAAAAAAGAAGAAAAAACCTATAGACAAAAGACGTAACGTTTTCTATGGTTGTGATCGGTGTTAAAATTGGTAAACCACGCTACTGAATACTTGATTGCGTAATTTCGTGTAATTTTTATTTTAGCCCAAAAAGAAAGTATAGAGCTCCCCCGCCTTCTCGTCACAGACACAGGCATCACCAGAATTTCCCAGTAACAAAAATGCGCGACAGGAGGTACCTAGCTTCCAGCGATGACGAGGAAGACGACGCGCCTCCGCAGCCATCACCGAAAGAACCGGAAATGAGGTCTAGTCAGCGGAAGAGAAAGAGGATGAAGTTTTACGAAGATGATGACGAAGAAGAAGAAGAAGAAGCAATTAAGCAAGTAGCCAAATCGAAACGAGACAAGAAAAAACCCAAGGACGATGAAGAGGACGAGAAAGAAGTTTCCCCGCCACCAGAAGATGACGAGGAAGAAGAAGTACCTGTGGAAGACGCGAAACCAATCGGCGACGTTGTTAGGGTTTCAGGAAAGGGGAAAACAAGGAGGAATCATTATAAATCGTTCGAATTTGATGGCCTTTCTTACGAACTTGTGAGTGCCTTTTCATATAATAATTCAGATTCCTTTGCATTTGTTCCTTGTTATGTGGTTTAGCATGCTTGATGTTCTCTTACATAGTCTGCCATACTTCTGAATCACAAAGCAATTTTATGAGAATCTAGGGAATTAGTCTAGAGTTTAGGATTGGTCTGCCTGCAAAGTAATAACTCTTTCTTCTCAACTAAAATTTTAACGTATCTGTTGGTTATTCTATAGAGAAGCATTTTGCAGTTTTATTATCTGCATCTAAATAGATTGTAGGACTTGTGAATTATGAAACAGATTCTTCAAGCTCATGAAAGAGGAGTTCTAGGATTTGGCTTTGCTAAATTCAGTTGATAGCTACACACTGTGATCTATTTATCTGTTCAGTTATTCTGTCAGATAGAAAATTTCCAACTCTGTTTGATGTTAAACTTGTGGACCATGAATAAGTTGTTCATGCAACCATGTTTCTGTCTCTGTGGATGTGCAGGAGGATCCTGTGCTTTTAGTTCCTGATCCTGAAGGACCAAACAAGAAGCCATATGTGGCTATAATCAAGGTATTATCTACTTTTCTAAATCAAAACTTTTATGGAAACTTGATTCTTAACTTACATATCATGCACAGGATATTACCGAGACAAAAGATGGGAGTGTAATGGTGACAGGACAATGGTTTTACAGACCTGAAGAAGCTGAAAAGAAAAATGGTGGAAACTGGCTATCAAGTGATACACGGGAACTGTTCTACAGTTTTCACAGAGATGAAGTCCCAGCTGAATCTGTAATGCACAAATGTGTTGTCCACTTCATCCCTGCAAACAAACAGATCCCAAGTCGTAAACTCCACCCTGGTTTTATAGTCCAAAAAGTCTATGACACCATTTTCAAAAGACTCTTCAAGCTTACAGACAAAGATTATGAAGACAACATGCAGCATGAAATCGACTTACTTGTTCAGAAAACCATGTCACGTTTAGGAGACCTTCCTGACATCAAGCTTGAAGATCATGACACAGAAGAAGATCAATTAAAAAGTAAAAGACTCTTGAGAAGAAAGAACATGAACATGACACCAATAGATGTTAGTAGAGATGAAGAAACAACAACAAACAGGTCATCTGGCCCATTATCAAGATCAGAAACACCAGGAAGCTGTACAAGTAATCCTTCAGAATATTACAACATTCTTGCAAAGAACAATGCTGTAACTAGTGATCATCATCGTGATAGATGGCTTGAGAAGCTTCTAGAAAGTGTTCAATATGTCTGCAGTAATGTATCTGAAGACAAGAATGATAAAGTAACAGGATCAAATTCAAAACCTTTGTGGCCTGTTGATGCTGTTGTTGCTGTAGCTGCACTTGAGAAAGCTTCACATGAGTCTCTTTCTTCTGATTATCAGAAATATAATCAGAAAATGCGTCAATTATGGTTTAATCTCAAGGTTTATTATTATTATTATTTTTTTTAACTTTTCACTTCTTAATTAGCATCTTTAATTAACAATGTTTTAACGCGTACAATATTTTATTTACAGAAAAATGCACAGTTAGCACGTCGCCTTCTTAAGGGAGAATTAGAAGCTTCAAAAATATTTAACATGTCACCTAATGAGTTGAAGGTATGTGTTTTATTTACAATCTTGATTTTTTTTTAGAAAAAAAAACACAGAATCTAAATAAAGAAAAAACTTTTAGGAGGGATTGACAGCTGAGGAGATAGCAAGTAAAGAGCCTGAAGAGGATGCTCAAGTGCAGGTAATATTTCTTTCTTTCTATTAATTTGGTGTTTTAAAAAAAAAAAAAAAAAAAAAAGTAAAATGAGAGTTTGGTGTATGTTTTTTTTATTATATGTGAACAGATGACAGATGCACGATGTAAAAGATGCACAGAGAAAAAAGTGCGATTGATAGAGATCATATCAGCTGGACATGCAGATAGATATCAGGTAAGAAGCTTTGTTATGGGTGAAAAGTAAAGTAAAGTAAAGTAGAGGGGCTATTTTTGTTAAAAGAGTAAAGTAGGTTTGTATTTTCTATTGTGTAACAGCTTGAGTGTACTGCATGTGGTAACATGTGGTATGCTTCTAGAGATGAAGCATCGAGTCTTACAATAGATGGGCCCAGTTCTGCAAAGACTGTGGGGTCCGCACCATGGGCCACTGCAAAATTTGAAGATGTTGAAAAGAAGCTGGTCAGTCCTCGTGACCACCACCCTACTCCTCCTACTGCCGCCAGTAGTGATGGTGGTGTTAAAAAAGTAAATGAGCCGGAAAAGCAGAGATCCTTTAACAAGTCTAAGGTTGAGGACCAAGATAACCTCCCACCACCACCACCACCACCAAGTGATCATCATGTAGACTAGTTTTGACTTTTAATAGTTGGAATCGTATATGCATCTCTTTGAGATATATCATTATCATTATTATGAAAAGCTTACAAATCAAAAACAACAGTTAGGTAAATTCTTGTGTGTTTTTTAGACGGATAGGTTGTCCATCCAGGAAATTTTGTGAAAGGTCTGTTTTGCCCTTGGGTTTCAGTTTGGGGATGTTTTCTTATTTTCCCCCATTTAAATATATTATGGGTAAAATAAATGATGATATTTGTTTGGATAAAAGGTTTTTTTTTTTTTTTTTTTTTTTTTTTTTTTTTAAGACTATTGGATTCTAATTTCTTACATTCCAAAAAATACAAATTTTACAATTTTTAAAAATATTAGCGTGAGAAAAGTTGGGCGAAAAAAAAGAACAAAAAATGGGCGAAAAAAAGCTTTTTGGCTTGACCCATTAAGTTATTATGTTCATATTAAGTCAAAAAGAAACAATCATATATAGCTGTGCATATTAAGTGCTTAATTTATTAAGCTCATGAAACTTCTTTGTCTTGCTGTATAAAGCATCTTCATTTTTTCTTTTGATACCGTGTGTTTTCTGCTCTCTTTCGGTGTCTTTGTGTTTGGTGGGCATGGGCATCTTTGTCGTGGGAAAATGTGGACCTTTAGGATGTTTGATGTAAGCTTTGGGGTCAAAAAGAAGGATCCGTTAAATGTGTGATATGAATAGTCGTATGTGTGGGGAGAATTTGGTAATTTTGTTTTATTGGGGGTTATAGACCACATCATTGACTGGTTCTAATTTTTTTTGGGGTTTGAACGTGGTGTGATAGGAGGGGTAGGTTCTTGATCTTGTTGTTTTGTAGTTGGTGACATAAATTCACTATATTATAATCCACAACTTAAATGTAGAGGTATCGAACGGGTAAAATTTTCGGGTTTCGGGTAGAACGGGTCGGGTAGAACGGGTATTTCCTTAAGAAAATAATACCCGATACCCGACCTATATTATAATTCGGGTTTTCGGGTTTCAGGTATTCGGGTTTGAGGTCGAGTCGGGTAATTATCAGGTATACCCGAAAATTTCTTAAATGACATTTATTGATAATTTTTTTTTTATTTTTTTATTTTTACATGTTGGTTGGTTTAATAAAGAATCGGGTAGGAAAATACTTCATACAATTAACAAGTACATATATAATAACAACACAAATCCTTATAATATGTTATGTACTTTTTTAATTCCATTCCGTGCGATGGTGAGAAACTGAGAATTGTGATGACGGTTCAAGACTTCAGCTTCAGCGTCGTATTCCCTTTGCAAGTTTGCGTCTACTGTCGAGCCGTCGTTCATAAGAAGGAAACGAATGGTTTTGTTTTATTTGAAGTGTGCGTACGTGACTGCATTGTATATTTGATATTATTTAAAAAACGAATTCGGGTATACCCGAAAATAAATATTCATACCTAAAACCCGACCTATATTATTATCGGGTTAACATATTACCCGAATGTTCATACCCGTTATCCGTTCTACCCGACCCATTTTACCCGAATTCGGAACGGGTCGGGTGGGTAGAACGGGTTTCGGGTTTTTTCGACAGGCCTACTTAAATGACATCGTAGATGCATAAGTGTCGCTTACATATAAAACAAAATCATTTTGAAAAAGAGTATGTTTATGAGTTACGAAATCCGATTTCGTATTTTTCATGCTGAAGTTGACCCGAGTTAGACAAAGGGGTCTGATTTCATCGAACTTATCGCCACGTCATTTTCTCTTTACTCTTCTCACGGATAGGAAATTGTCACATTTCACTTCTTTACTTTTTAAGTTTTTTAATAAATATATAAAAATGTAATTTATTTATAAATAAATTCAAAATTAATAAAAAAAACTCATTATTTCAAACTAAAATGATAAAAATTGCATAAAAGAAACTAAAACATAAGAATAATTTATTAAGTATATCATTTTGAATCTTCGTTTCGAATCCACATCTGATGCCTTGTCCGGATCCTCATCGACAATATATGCAGTCAAGTTTTGTAAATATGTTTTACTAAATTAGCGCAAATGTTGTGATGTGTATCTCAATTATGTACTTCCATTATGTTTCCTATGTAGTGTTACATATCAATTTCTACTACTTCAAAGGATTGTAAAATTTCGTTTTCATCACAGTAGTATGTCACATTTCCTTTATCTTCTAAAACAATATTATATAATATGATGCATATTTACATCAAACGCTATTTCCACATCCTTCCTAGCTTCTTATGGAACTATCTTAAACTTTAATCATTTTTTGCATCTGGACATATCCATGATTCGACACATATAGCAGGGGCGGAACACGAAGACTATAATTACTGGGGCCGAAATAAGATTTTCAAAACGAAAACATATAAACAAGTTTAATAAATATAGTTTTTAATATAAATTTCTAACCATGCTAATGATTTCTAAATTTCTTTATTTTGTTTGCTTGTCTTATAGTCTTACATTTTCATGATACATTACGATTTCTAATATATAAGGATTATGATTTTTATTATATTAGGATTTTAGTTACCTTGTATGTCATACTGTTATATATTAATATCTTAATAATTAGTAATTACTTTATTGTCTACATGGACTATATCATTTTTTTTTTAAAAAACAAAAACATATAAATAAACTTAATAAATATGTTTTATTATAAGTTTCTAACTATACTAAAGCTACTAACGATTTCTTTATAAATTTCTAACTATACTAACTAGTAATAACAAGCTAGAAATAAAAGTTTCTATTTAATAAAGTAATAGTATTCACTTATTTATACAGTAGCAGCTTCTAGACTCAAAAGTCTATATCATATCTTTTTTATAGATTTGTTCACAGTAATCAAGGTATAAACAATATTATCTATGAGTAGGATGGAAGGAAAAAGAGAGATGCAAAGGGAATACGTACAACTTCATTGTTGCGCCGGTGGTGAGGAGACATGAGAGGAAAGGGCAGCAGCCAACAGAGAGCACGACGGAGGTTAGAGGCAAGGAGTCTCGTGACCGGTGTGAGGAGCAAAACAACTTGTTGCGGTTTCTGGTCAGATTTGAGATTTCTTCTTTCAACGATGATGTTTTCTTACGAGCAATTTTGAGATATTTTTCCGGTGGCCGGAATAAGTATTTTTGGTTTATTGTTTTTATAAACTCAAAACTTGAGTTAAAAAAATTGTTAATTAGATTATGATTATTTGTTTTTATGTAGTGTGAGAGTAATTTCTTCTTTGATTTGATTTCCGAATGAATGAAGGTTGGTTTTGATTTTTTCAGTGATTTGCGGACTTTTTAGTTGATTCTTTATCTAGTTTCTTAAAGTAAATTTTATGAGTTATATTACATAATTATATGAAGCTCATAATCAGGAGGCCAGTTAGTCATATTAATGATTTTTTTTCGTAACTGACCTATATACATATATGTAATTATGTATTATCATCCTCAAAATCGGGGAGGCCATGGCCCCTCCTGGCCTTTAAGAGCCTCCGCCACTGACATATAGAATACTTAGGATACATATCATATCAGTAAGATATTATCCCCGTTTGTATTATACTACATTCACTTCAAATGACAAGTCATACGCCTTTCTAGGATGCATGTCATTCGATATCTGGTAAAAAACATTAATGTCATTGTTGGGACTCGCGACATCAAATAGTGCATGTCAAATATATAGATGATACGACACTACTGCTTTTATGATCATCTCACATGAGTTAACCACGTCATGCATTAAGGCACATTGTCTACGACTACATATAATTAATGCTGCCTAGCATTTCAGGAAACCCATATTGTTTTCATAATTCACATACATTTGTTACATGTCATTTAACGTATGTTTACACAAATATCGTACGCCGTAAACCTTAATGACACATTTAGCACACTTATAGACACTATCATGTGTGGTCTGCTCATACATCCTCATATATACTCATCTAATGAGTTGACTCTTATGCCCTATGTTAATTAACAAATCGTAGTTGTGCTTTTTTGCAGCGGAGTAAAACCTTTCTTACATCTTGCATCCATTTCAGTTGGAAACAAATTCAAACATATTCTTCAAATCATCAACTATATGCAATAATAATCGTTTCATCAATTGGAATCGTCTTCGAAACTTTTCAGCGTACTTGACATCATCGACAAAGTAGTCTTGTACAAGATGCTCGTAGGCATAGTGAATTCTCGTTAAAAGAGTTTTGTATTATGAACTTTTTGTTTAAAACAAAAGCTAAAAGATTCTATTGACGAATAAAAGTTTTTTAATTATTTGAATTTATCTTAAAAGCGAAAATGTAAAAGTTTACAAAAATTTTCAAACTCACGCACTACCGCCACCGCGCTATGAATTTTAGTTAACCTTTAAAATCCGAGTAAATGGTTATAAAATCAACAAACACCATCACATTTGAGTTAATCAAACTAGAATCAGAATTTGGTCTATGTTTCGGTTATGATTCATGGGTTTACTTTAGTGATTAACGATCTAATAGTAAACTAGTAATAGTAACCTAATAAATTATATGCCGGCTAAGGCCTACAATATTAATCCACAAATAAATTTTAGCACGCATCAATTTTAGGATATACTAATCTCTTGATAAATCTTTTACAATAGTATTGGAATATATATAAGACATCATTGGAATTTATTAATCGTTTTTGTTAAATTTATGCTAATAAATTATGTAAAACTCTAAAAATCTATACCCTTAATTCATAATTTTCTTCCTAACACCCTCATTTAGAGATTTTCATATTTCACAAGGAATAGTAAACTAGTAATCCTAACCTAATAAATTTGAAAATGTATTTGTTCATTTATTCATCCCTTAAAATTATTCCGGATTATTTTTATCGTGTCGATAGTTCGATACTATATATTTATAATATTATCAATTCTAGAAAATAAAGGATGACGTTCACCATCCGACACGTATGCATTCCAAACTCTACGGTCTCCGGCGGCACGCAACACTTCCCTCTTCTCCTCCTCCTATAAACCACATAAATTCTTTCCCCCAAATTAATCGCTAATCTTCTTCTCAATCCTCTATCCACTTTCCTAATTCAGGTTCTTTCACCACCTTTTTCCTTTTTTATTTTCTTCCATGATCATGATCATCATCACATGTACTGTATATAGCCCTAGCTTTAATCTTTAAGCTTCTTCTTTTGTTTCAATTTGGTTAAGTTAACTGCCTTTTTTTTTAATTTTTCTGTTCATATTTTTCGATTTCTGGAGTTCAATTGTTATAGAATCGGACGTGTTTAAGCTGTTTGGTGTTGTAATTTCTTAATTCGGGTGAATTTGGGGATTTCTGTTTTGGATTTTGATTGTTGTCGACCAAAGTTTGTATCTTTATTGTTGTTGTACCTTTCCCCCTTTTGGTGACAATCAAGAATAATTAATCCAGTTTTCCCACAAAAGTGATTCCTTCAATTTAATACTCATCCGTTCACGGAATCAATCCAGTAAATTAGGGTTTTCGATTCCGCAATTATTGAGAGCTTCGCAAACTTGTAATTTCAAGTCTGAAAAATGGTCGAATCAATGGCTGCAACATCCCTGTTGGGGCCTACACCAATTTTAGGGCACCATTGGAGACAATCGTCAGGTAAACGGGTTGCAATGAACCCTAATCGCTTGTCCAAGGTTTACGCAATCAAAGCTCAAGCAATGGAGTTGACTAGAGAGATCTACAATTTCAAAGAAGAAGACAGATTTCAAAAGAATTCCGATAACCAATTCAACACTAACCATAACCTAGACAGAAAACCAGGGTCATGGCCTCCAAAGAATAAAGCAGATAACCCATCATTACAAAACCCATTACTTCGTCAACACCAAATGGGTTGTGGCTGGTTAGGTGCCATATTCGAATGGGAAGGAGTCTTGATAGAAGACAACCCAGATCTTGAAAAACAATCATGGCTTGCACTTTCACAAGAAGAAGGTAAATCCCCACCTCCTGCTTTTCTCCTCAAAAGAATCGAAGGCATGAAGAACGAACAAGCAATCTCAGAAGTCTTATGTTGGTCAAGAGATCCATCTCAACTAAAACGAATGTCATCAAGAAAAGAAGAAATCCATCAAGCTCTACAAGGTGGAATCTACAGATTCCGTGATGGGTCCCGCGAGTTTGTGAATGTTCTAACACGTTACAACATCCCAATGGCTTTAGTTTCAACCCGTCCACGAAAGAATCTTGAAGAAGCGATTGGTGCAATTGGGATTAATGGCGTTTTCAGTGTTGTGGTGACTTCTGAAGATGTTTATAGAGGGAAACCTGATCCTGAAATGTTCATGTATGCAGCTCAGTTGTTGAAGTTTATACCTGAGAGATGTATTGTGTTTGGGAATTCTAATTTGAGTATTGAAGCTGCTCATGATGCTAAAATGAAGTGTGTGGCTGTGGCTAGTAAGCATCCGGTTTATGAGCTTAGTGCTGCTGACTTGGTGGTGAGGTGGCTTGATGAGCTGTCGGTTGTTGATTTGAAGAATCTTGCTGATGTGGAAACTGAAACTGAGGTGGAAATGGAGTTGGAGGAGGGGAATGTGCTTCCTTCTTCAAGGGTGGCTGTTGATGATGGTGATGATGATGATTTGTGGTGAATTGTGTTTGGATTTGTACAGTAGTTTTATGGGTATAGTGTTAATTTGAAACGATGAAACTGTGTATTTGGTGTACTTTTTATAGTTTATAAATGCGGGAAATGGAAAATGTAAAGTGGTAGTCTCATTAGATTACCGGTTATAGCATGGTGTATGTATCATATGTGTTTAATATGTATATATAAATCTCTGAATTTTCAAAGTTGCTTCGTGTTCAATTCATGTATATGTCTCTTTGAAGCATATTGTCAAACAATCGAGTATAACTATTATGATGTTGGTGATGATGTAAATATATACTCTATTGATCACTTCATCATTATGTAGGGTCAAGGAAATTAAGAAATAGAGAGTGACGATATTGTTTTTATATTTATATAATGACTAAACTGCACAAATGGTCCATGTGGTTTGCTCAAAGTTGCCACTTTGGTCTAAAAAGGTTTGGACTAGCACCAGAGTCTAAAGTTTTCATTTTGTTGCTTGTTTCCTATCTATTTTGATTTTTTTCAAAATGATGAATTTGCCCTTGTTAATATGATTTTCTTTTTTTTTTTTCTTATTTTCAGATTTAAAAAAATAAAAAATAAAAAATAAAAAAAAAATATCTCTTTCTCTCTCATATTTATTTTTTTCTGATATTTAGATTTAAAAAAAATAAAAAATAAAAATAAATCTCTCTCTCTCTCTCTCTCTACCCGTCTCTCTCTCTCTCTCTGGAAAACCCTCCGTTCCAACCATATTTTCTTCTTCTTTCTCGATGACAAGCAACCCAAACACCCCATACTTATTGTTACTGCCTCCCTTTTTCTTCTTCTATTTTAATCGAGAAAACCTTCACCGGAGGTGGGGTTTTTCGGCTGTCAAGAGGGCAACAACCCCCTCCCGTTTTCCTTGTGCTTATCGTCGGCTTCATAGCAACCCAAATGCCCCCACCTATTGGAGTCGTCGATCTAGAAACCCTTCATCGGAGCCGGCGGAGTCATCGATCTAGAAACCCTTCGATCTGGAAACCCTTCGTCGGAGTTGTTACCACGACCACGTGTCCACACCGCCTCCACTGTTGAACCTCTATGAAAACCCTTTGATCTTGAAAACCCTCCGATTTGATAGCCTTCGTCAACCAGAGAAGAATCGATGGATAAGAACGAAGATATGAAAGATCTAGGGTTTTCTGAGGAAGATAGAGAAGGAGAGACAGATTTTCCTTCGAGGGTTTTCACATTTTCGTTAGGGTTTCAAGACAGTGGTTGCAACACTTGTGGTTGAGGGTTTCTTTGTGGGGAAGATGACGATGATACTAGGAACGACTAGATCTGGGCAGATACGCTAACAATATTGGTTGCCATACACAGGAGTCGCCGAACACATTCTCGTGCTAGACGTCAGAGTCGCCGGATTCACCACTGTTTTCTCTGTTCGTCTTCTCCGGTGGCCGTTTTTTTTTTCTCCGATGGTTATTTCAAGTCAAGACTAGGATTTCTGTGGAAAAATTGATGGATTTGAGAGAGAGGAGAGAGAGAGAGGAGAGAGAGAGAGAGAGAGAGAGAGAAATTATTGTAAGAATTTTGTTCTCCAGTGGTTATTTAAAAAAAAATGTTTTTGTTTTTTTAATTATTGTAATATAAAAGAAATAAAAAAAAGTAAATATCAGGGGCAAATTCGTCATTATAAAAAAGTTAAAACCAAAATGGACCAAAGTCGCAACAAAATGAAAAGTTTGGACCTCCGGTGCTAGTCCAAACTTTTTTGGACCAAAGTGACAATTTTCAGCTAACCACATGGACCATTTGTACAGTTTTGTCTTATATAATATTTATTATATATTAAACCTGATGTTGTTGGAAATATGAATTGTTAACGATGTGTTTTGTTGTAAAAAAAATTTAGTTTGGCTGTGATTTTTTTTAGTTTTCTTGAATTTTTTTCTCAGAAAAATGAAAAAGAGTTATAAAACATACTTGATTCAAAAAATATTCCAAAAGTTTTGTAAGAATAGAGATTTTTTTTAATTAAGTATAACTTTAAAAGTACTAATTGTTGTTTCATATATATATATATATATATATATATATATATATATATATATATATATATATATATATATATATATATATATGGACCAATGAAAATTAAATAATTATTGTGTTATTGTATGCTTAAATGTGGACCAATCAAAATTAAATAAAAAATTAAATAAATAAATAAATAAATAAGGGTAATTTAGTAATTTGTTTAGTAACTTCCAAAAATAATCCCTATAATTATGGTACTGACTTTAGACCTAAATAAATAAGCGTGTCTTCCTCAATCTCCCACCCGACGCTAACCTAACCTAACTCATCATCTATCTATCGTCGTTCCTTGCTTCAAATCCATCTCCATTCCCTTGCCTCCTTCCATCGTCGATGTTGCTCCATCTCAGGCGAGGCAAGCTTTCGCCGTCGCTGCTCCATCTGTGGCGGCGAACCTTCTACCAACGCTCCTCCTCTCCATCGCCGATCCATCCGTGCTTCATCGATCATCGCCTGACCAGTCGACCACCGATAGTCATTAGCGGTTTGAGCCTTTGAGGCTTGGCTCGAGCCATCCAAAAGCCAACCCATTTTACTTCAGCCCGCAGATAAGAAAGTTAAGATGTCGTATTGTCAAATTGTGTACTGTATTGTATATTGACATTTTGACAAAATCGAAAAGAATAACGAGAGAGATGAGTGAGAGTGAAGTTCTTCGGAGGGAGAGTCCGTGGGGATTACTGGTGGGATGTCAAGTCCACCAAGCAAATTACACCCTTTGATTTCTAAATAAACGTAATATAATGGTAAAAAGGGGTATCGATCCTCGGGGAAATGGTTGTATTCAATCACCAATGCAATTCAATAGAACTAGTGAAATTAAACTAACTAACTACAATTAAACTAAAAAGGGGGGGGGGGGGTGTTTGATTACTTGAAAACTAAAATACTTGAATAACTAAAAACCTTGCAATTAAGCAAGTTGATGAGATGCTCAAAGGTTGGGAATAATTTGTTAACTAAGGCAATTCAACACAATGAACATTTGTGTGTTTATCATTAGGATCTAATACAAAGCTTATCCTTCATCCCAAATTAGTTATAGCAATCATGAAGCATGATATGCCAAGATTCCTCATAGGTAGTATGGAGGTTGGGGAAGCCCACAACACACCTTCTTAATTAAGATCAAGGGTCAAATGAAGCAATTAATCCCAAGAAATCAATTAGCCTTAAGAATGAAGGAATCCCCAATTCCTAGAGGATGTCAAATGCTTACACATCCATAAAGGAGCTATGATTCATAAGCTAGAGATGATTTCTACCATCATAAAGCCTTTGTTCTAGATAAATTCAATGATCCAATGCAAAATCAATGAAACAAATCAACCATTGCTCAATCAAATACTAAGCTCATGATCAAAGCATCAAATAAGCATAAGAATTGTAAACTAGAATCATAAACATGGAATAAATTGATAATCAACATAAATCCTTCAAAACCCACAAACATTCATTGGTTTTCAGCCAAAGTCAACCAAATAAGAGTATTAGCCACTCATGGCAACAAAGTAACAAGAACAATAATTAATTTGCATCAAGAATCTACCTAAGACTTGAAAAGATGAAAGAAATTGAGTATTTTGCTCTCCAAATCGTCACTTGCAGGTCTCCAATGGTGGAAAATTCGTGAATGAGCCTCTAGATCTGATCCCCCAGAGTTATTGTGAGCCAAATGACCAAAATACCCAAACTGGGCAGTTGCGCGGGTACCCGCACAGCCAAAATTCCACCCGCGCAAATGCTGCTGGAATGCTATTGGTCCATCATTCCACTACTCCACCCTTCCACTACCAAAGATTCCTTTGGTCCCCCCCTTGTCCATGTAATTTGAATCCACTAATCATCATTTAGCCACTAAATGGATGCTCCAAGCCCAAAATTAGAAATTTATGATCCATCTTCACAAGCCCAAATAATCCAAGCCAATAACTTTCAAAGCCCAATTCTTCTTCTTTGATTCCGCCAAGCCCAATAATGCTTCGGGAGCCCACTAAGCCGTCTTCACTCAAATCCACAATCACAAAAAGCTCCAAAACCCTGCAAAATTCCTCATGCAACATAACAAGCCCCCGATACGATCCATGATAAAGAAAATAAAGAATATACAATGCAATACTAATAAAAAGAGCTAAAAATCTAAGATAAACTAATAAAAATAAGGAAATAAAATAAGCTATCAAATCACCCCAAGCTTAAACCTAACTTGTCCTCAAGTTAGAACAAGACTAAAATGAGCTCGGAATGAGCTAAACTAAAAAGAGAAAAAGAAAGATACCATAGAACTTGGTCAACATCAGTCAACATGGTCAAAATTAGTCCTTCAATGGACCCTACGCATCTTCAAAATGTTCCCCGCTTTAGAGCCATAAACCACATTCTCAACCACTTGATGGGCGAATAGATCACGGTTGGATGCAGTCGCGGTGTGCAAGACAAAGGAAACAGAGATGCGCCCAGTGGGGGCACTTTAAATCACCAATGCAGAACATAGTGCACGAAGGAAAGGCGCCTCTTCACACACTATGATTCCTACATTTGTCAGGCTAAAGTGTATAGTACGAAATAGGGTTTTGCAGCACGGCCTCCGGGCAAACATCCGGGAATTCATCAAGGATAGGAGAATAAGAATCACCAATATTCAACCGACTTAAGTGATCCGCAACTAGGTTTTCGGCACCACTTTTATCCTTTATCTCAAGATCGAATTCTTGTAAAAGAAGAATCCAACGAATCAACCGTGGCTTGGCATCTTTCTTGGTCATGAGATACTTCAATGCGGCATGGTCGGAATACACAATTACTTTTGTCCCAAGAAGGTATTGCTGGAATTTCTCCAAGGCGAATACAATGGCTAGAAGTTCCTTCTCGATGGTGGAGTAATTGGCTTGAGCATTATCCAAGGTTTTGGAGGCATAGTAGATG